TTTTTTTTTTAAATCCAAACTATTGTGACACCAGATCTAATTAGTGGCACTTGTCAGCGTATCCACTGTTAGCGTAACACACCCGCTTTTTTTAAGGACACTGACTGCTATTCAATCTATAACAGTGAAAAAAGATTTTATTTTTTTTAAATCCAAACTATTGTGACACCAGATCTAATTAGTGGCACTTGTCAGCGTATCCACTGTTAGCGTAACACACCCGCTTTAAGGACACTGACTGCTATTCACAATCTATAACAGTAAAAAAAGTTTTTTGTTTTTAAATCCAAGCTATTGTGACACAGGATCTAATTAGTGGCACTTGTCAGCGTATCCACTGTTAGCGTAACACACCCGCTTTAAGGACACTGACTGCTATTCAATCATAACAGTGAAAAAAGATTATTTTTTTTTTAAATCCAAACTATTGTGACACCAGATCTAATTAGTGGCACTTGTCAGCGTATCCACTGTTAGCGTAACACACCCGCTTTAAGGACACTGACTGCTATTCACAATCTATAACAGTAAAAAAAGTTTTTTGTTTTTAAATCCAAGCTATTGTGACACCAGATGTAATTGGTGGCACTGACTGGGAAATGGGCACAGTATGCACTGTGAGCCTGACACAGAAGCTGGCAGCAGTGGCAGACAACTGACTGCTATTCAATCTATACCAGTGAAAAAAGTTTTTGCTTTAAATCCAGCTATTGTGACACCAGATGTAATTGGAAAGCACTGATCAGAAATGGGCACAGTATGCACTGTGAGCCTGACACAGAAGCTGGCAGCAGTGGCAGACAACTGACTGCTATTCAATCTATAACAGTGAAAAAAGTTTTTTGTTTTTAAATTCAAGCTATTGTGACACCAGATGTAATTGGTGGCACTGACTGGGGAAATGGGCACTGTGAGCCTGACACAGAAGCTGGCAGCAGTGGCAGACAACTAAGTGCATTTACATTACATAGAAAGAAAAAATCAAAAAAAAGCATACCCTTATCCCTAACCTAGCTATGCTTTTCCCTATCTTATGAACAGCAGCTACACTTTCCCTCCTCTTACTAAGCATGCAGCTTGAGAATGAATCTAAAATGGATGCTGTCCAGTAGGTGGGAGGGTCTGCTAGGGAGGCTGTGCTGCTAATTGGCTGGAATGTGTCTGCTGACTGTGAGGTACAGGGTCAAAGTTTACTCAATGATGACGAATAGGGGGCGGGTCGAACCGCGCATATGTTCGCCCGCCGTGGCGAACGCGAACATGCTATGTTCGCCAGGAACCGTTCGCCGGCGAACCGTTCGGTACATCACTATTAATGAGTAACAACTGGAGAACTTAATGGTCTACCATCTATGGCCTCAACGGCCAAGGGTATCTCCTTCTCTCTGATGGGAATGTTGTTTTTCTTAACAAAACCCGAGTCCATGAAATTATCAGCTGCCCCGGAGTCAACCAAGGCTTGTATGTACTCAGCTATGCAACCCTCTCCCATATACAAAGAAACAGGAAGAAGCAAACGGTTAGGAGGCAATTTAGGAGACTTAGATATCATACCCAAGGCTAGTCCCCTATAAGGCCTTAGGTGCGAGAGTTTCCTGGAAGCACGGGGCATTCTTTTATCATATGGTCTCTCCTACCACAGTATAGGCAGAGTCCGTCCCTTCTCCTATGTAATTTTTCAGTTTCAGAGAGTTTGGCAACCCCTAATTGGATGGGTTCCTCCTCTGATACTTTGACAGTCTCAGGTTTATCAACTCTGGGGTTAATAGGTGTAACCAAACGTCTATTCCGGTTTTTAGTATAGAGTCTGTCCTGAATCCTGTTATCTATATCAATGAGGTAGTCAATAAGGTCCTCTAATGCAATAGGAAGCTCCCTAGCCGCTACCTCATCCAATATAGAGTCAGATAAACCTTCCATGAATGCAGTTGTTAGCCCATTGTTGGTCCAATCTACCTGTGAAGCAAGGGTACGAAACTGAATGGCATAGTCAGCAACAGACCTAGAACGCTGTTTAATTCTCATTAATGTTCTGGCGGCATTCTTTGACCTTTTAGTTGTGTCAAAAGTTCTACGAAAAGCCGTAAGGAAACTATTGAAATTATGCACCATGGGTCCATTAGCCTCCCAAATAGGATTTGCCCACTCAAGTGCTTTATCGGTAAGTTGGTGCATAAGGAACCCCACTTTAGACCTATCTGTGGGAAAGGAAAGTGGATACATCTCAAAGTGGAATTCTATTTGATTAATGAAACCTCTATATGTCTTAGAGTCCCCTCCATACCTAGGAGGAGGTGTTAAATGGGCCAAAGTATTAGGCAAAGCAGACACTTCAGGAAGAAGAGGTGTAGGAGGGTTAGGTGTGGTTGCTGGAACAGTTCTAGATAAGAGCGTCTGGAGAGCCTGGGCTATCTGATCCATACGGTGATCCTGCTCTACAAATCTAGCCTCATGAGAAGCCATCTGCTGAGCTAAATCTACGGGGTCCATGGCCCTATCGTAATGTAACGAAAATATACCCCAACACGCAGGATTTAAGCTAAACAAATGTCAGCACAGAGGGAAGGTACATCTACCGGACCTTAGAGTGGCCAGACTCGACGTAAAGGAGAGAGATACAGAGTCAGGAGCGATCCGAGGTCAAGGGCACAAAGAGACAGCGTAAACTTGGATTAGCCGGGGTCTGGTACACAGAAAACAGCAAGCCGGCAAACAGAACAGATAAGGATAAAGAGATAACGTAGTCAGAAACAAAGCCAAAGTCAAGTACGAAGGAACACAACTGAACACAACAAGCGCTAAAGGGAACTGAAACAGAAACCACGATAGGGCAAGGAACTAAGGGAAAAAGGTGAGTATATATACCTAAACATCTAATATGATTGGTCCCTGTCACATCTACGCCCCCAAAAGGTAGGTGTATGGGGAGTGTGGCATGACAGGGACCAATGGGATGCCTTTTCCAATTTAGGCTCCCACTGTCAGACGGGACACGTGTCTGCTTCTCGCTGTCACCTCCGGCCTTCCTGTTACAGCCGTCGGATGAGCCGCGCGCGGCTCGAACAGAGGACCCCGGCCGGCCCCTGGAAAGGGTAAGTACCGCTACAACAGTCAGCAGACACATTCCAGCCAATCAGCAGCAGACCCTCCCTCCCAGACCCTCCCAACTCCTGGACAGCATTCATTCTTAGTGAGCTGTCCAGGAGGTGGGAGGGTCTGGGAGGGAGGGTCTGCTGCTGATTGGCTGGAATGTGTCTGCTGACTGTGAGGTACAGGGTCAAAGTTTACCGCATATGTTCGCCGTCCGTGGCGAACCATTCGGCGAACCGTTCGGGACATCTCTACTGGTCATGCAAGGTGAGACTCTCGTATTGGCTATTAACGTTATTATCTGTACTAGACTTAAGTTAAAGACAATCATGTATAGCTCAGTGCATGAGAGAGAGTAAACAGAATTTTTTTTTTTATAAGGGAAAGTAAGTGTCCGAGAGGTATCCCAGTAGTGGTGTAGTGAACTGTAGTGAGAGCTGTTAATGTAGAACCAACGCTTATGGGGACTCCCTCTCTCCTCTGTAGAGGCAGGATTGGGGGTACGCTACGAACCCGTTAGGGTGATACCAGAGAGGGGGGGTTTGTATGCTTACGTGTCATGCATGGCGAAGAGCACCAAAATGGTAGGGACTGGTGTGGTCAGTTCTCCGAGCTGGTTAAACACCTGCGTTGGGTGTGGGGGGACTTCCCCGGTATGTGACTATGTGTCGTCGTTGTTGTGGGTGTATATGTGGGTCTTTAGGACAAAAAACAAAACAGTATGATAAGGCAATAATAGGCATAAACGGACTAGTTAGGTGGTATCATTAGGTAAGTCCCGCTATAGTGAGAGGCTGTCATTTCCAAGCAGACTTCTGCTTCAGGTTGTAAGTCTGGATGTTGGGGGGTCCCGAGCAGTGCGGGGTATGAACTCTTGTATTCTAGCCGGGTCTATGCGTGCCAGTCCTGATCCAGAGGCAGTGTCAGGAGAAATAAAGCCCAGCCTGCTTAGGTGGTCCTCGAGTTCTTGCAGGGTGCGCACTCGGCATGATTCCACCTGCACCTGATATAGGAGAGACCTCGGCATTCCCCAGTGATAGGTAATGTCTCTTGCCCGCATGAACTGCAGGAGTGGGCGCAGAGAGCGGCGCCAGGCCAGTGTGTTCCTGGTGAGGTCCGGGAATATCTGTATCGTGGCTCCCTCAAATGGTATCGGGTTCTTCCCCCTTACTGCTGCGAGGAGCAGGGCCCTGTCCTGCAGAGATTGGAAGCGAACAATATGATCCGGCATTGTAGAAGGGGGTGACCCCGTTGGTTTTGGGATGCGGAACATACCATCGAGTTTGATCACTTTTGCTTGTTTAGGTGGCAGGTGAGCCGCGAGAGATCTCCGTAGAAAGTGAGGTAAGTCCGAGACCCCCAGCGATTCCGGCACACCTCTGAACTTGAGGTTGTACCATCTCCGCATGTCTTCAAGTGTGTCTAGTTTGTCTGTTGTAGTGGCGTGCAGCTCTGCTACCCTTTTCTCCATCATAGATAGTCTGGAGCCGTGGGTGCTGTGTGCCGCCTCCAGCTGGGCAGTTTTTGTTGTTGCGTTCTCCACAGCCTTTTGAAAGTGGGCCATGTCTCCTGCAATATTGGTGCGTAGCTCCGCCAGCATCGCTTTCAGTTGCAGTGACAGGCTCCCTGTCATCCAGCTTGCTGGACTGGGTCCCGCATTTAGATTGGCGGCAGCACCTTCCACCGGATAAACGGAATAGTCCTCTGAGGAATAAAAGGAACCCTCCTTGAGGGCCGCCATCTTGTCCCACATGGCCTGTTGTTTGTTGCGGAATAGTTCCCCGATGTCCCGGCTTGAGAAGTCTTTGTCAGCTTTGGGCTTCTTTTTTTTCCAACCCATTTTGATCGCTCTGTAGTAGGTAAGGTTTGTAGCCTTCTTGATTGCCAATTATCAGTTTTAAAACAAGCAAATATAATAAGTTATTGCGGAGCTCGGAGAAAGCGTGTCCGCTCTGGTTCTCTGCCAGGCTCCGCCCCCAATTTTGTACTATTTTAAATACAGAGCAACATGTCAGGTTCAATGACTGTAGGGAAATCAATGTATGTTGTACCTTAAAGAAAGATAACATGAGCTATCTTAAAAAAAGTAAAAAAAAAATGCCACCAATCTTGTACTACAAGATTTACTTGTACTAAGGTTCCCAAGGTGTTGCAATGTCTGTGTACACCACTTTCAGTAATGATATGATATCCCTGGTCATACAAGCCTTCTGAAATAGCAGGGCCAGCCCAATGAAATTATATAAAAAAAAAAACATGCTAGTGCAAATCAAATGGGCAACAGTAGCATTAGTTGATGGTGCACCCTACAAAGTGGCTCCATCAATTTTTTCTTAGAACTGCAGCAGTAGCATGGCATTGGGATTCTATGAGAAACATATTTGCTTAATTCAGCAAGATTTCATCAATGTTGTTCTGGCAAACTTCTAAAACTAATAAATAGCTGGAGATATGCCTTCATGCCTCTGCCCATTCCAGCACAAAAGCCATGTCACCAAACATGCCAGTGTTATTGTGTGTCAGAAAAGGGAGCATGCAAATCTACTGTACATGTAAGCACCAGGCTAACCAACAATACCAGGCCCCCTCCCAAATGCTGCCCAGGTGCAAATCACTTCTGAATGGCTCTTATAGGAAGAATGACTTGTCTTTATTTCCCCAACATTTCTTATCATGTGATCACGCTGCATTAACTGGGGGCATTTTCCGGGGTGTACAGAAGCATAACAAAAGAGCAGTAACCCAGGATAGCAGGACTGCTATTCAAATGTGGAACTGTTCTGGTGCATCTGGGGCTGAATGAAGGTACTGAAGTGAACTGTTTTGTAATGAGCACATCCTAATATCATGCTTCATGAGGGATGGCATTTGAAATGGGTAAGGAGGAATGGGATTTGTCACAGATATAGGGCATTCATGGAGACATGCCAGAGGGGAGGAAGCAGAAGAGACACAATATGAGTAGACATTAAGGGACAAAAAGAGTAGGGTTAATTGGACAAGAAAGTAGTAAGAAGCCATGGGAATAGACATATTTGTAAGGGGCATGGAGAAATTGAGGTGGGAGAAGATAGAGACAGATACAGAAGGGGGGCTCGACGCATTGAGGACATGTAGGAACTATATTATATATATCAGATGGGGAAATCAAGTGTGGAGGGAGCAGAGACAACAGCTTCCAAATGGGGTACAGTAGTGAGAACATTGTTTTTTCCTTAAACAAATGCAGCACACTGACACAGAGTTACTGAAGGTTCTGAACATTTTAGTTCTGAAACTGCAGCAGTAATACCAGAGCAAAATACAGTTACAAAAATATTATGCTCACAGTTTTTTGTACTAAATCAATGTTTGGAAATGTAGTTTTCAAAAAACCCTGAAACAAGTGCTATTGGTCTAAATATGAATGTACTGCACTTACATTACATACAATTTCCATTGTTTAAACCTTAGCTGTATATAGAATTAAAGGAATGCTTTTCAGTGCTGATGAATGTGTTCGTGTCTGCTAAACATTCTTTTCCATTGTCTCATAATGTTTAACTGCTTTAGCACTGTCTCTCTAGCACTCTTGCACTGATGTTCTGTTTTGTGGTAGTTTTTAGATTGCCTTCCTTTGATATTCAGAGGGGCAGGTAAAATACTATATAGCATTATTAAGGAAAGGTTCCATAAATCATAGGAGGGAGTGATGTTCAAGGAAAGATGTTATATTTTCTCTTGACAGCAGGTCCGGGTTTTTGGTAGCAATAGTTCAGTTATCAGCTTTCTGCTTATGAGATCTATTTGCAGGATCACAACTCTCAGAAATCTTTACTGTGGTTCCTAATTTATTTCCTTTCTTTAGATTTTAAGTTCATGAACTGTCTTATATCATACAATTATGTTATTCAAGCAAAGATACAAACACAGCAAAAGGATGGACTTATAGGTTGGGCTTATAGCGGGAAAAAAATCCACAAGTGACTAAATTATATATATATTAGAAGAATCGATCCAGCATAACAAACGATAAAAACGCATAAATGCCCAAAAGCAACAATTTCAATTAAAAACCCACCAGCAATGTTTTAGTCATGACAAAGGCTTTCCTCAAGCCTTATGGTAACTTGAAATCATAGACTACTGATAGGGTTGGCACTCAACTGTAATAATGGTGCAGGTATTGAGGTCACCCTCCAATATACAACCTCCAAAATGAATACCAAACAACAAAATTAGTCAAGGGGTTTAAGCTAACAAGGTAATTGTTGTATTGTTCTGTATCTGGGGAAATGAGTGTTAGCAAGATTGGTGGTTTGACTCAATGCAGATCTTGTTGCATGTATGGATGCCTGGATGTCCCCTTCCAGGGTCCATACCTCTGTGATGGTTGTGTGAGAGTGGCTTTTCTGTAAGCTCAGATTGGATATCTCGAGAAGTCAATTGTGAGAGATCTCCGTAGAAAGTGAGGTAAGTCCGAGACCCCCAGCGATTCCGGCACACCTCTGAACTTGAGGTTGTACCATCTCCGCATGTCTTCAATCTGGAGAGGAGTCTGCTGCTCACTGAGCAGAGTTTAGTGGGGACAGGTAGTGGAGAGGGAGGAGATAAGACAGATGGGGAACAGGCACGTAGCTGCGTGACAGTGGGGCGAGGAAGCAGGGGGGGAGGGAAGAGGAAAGGGCTAGCTAGTCCTGATTTAGTGCAACCTAGCAGATTTATCCATTTTAGTGAAGATGTTGGGAGCATCAGCTCAGGAGTAGCTGTATTAGAGGAAGCTGTTACTTCTAACATCTGAGGTAACAGCCCCTCTAGTAAGGGTGGGGATCAAAATGTAAGGAAGGCAAGACAGGTTGTGGTGGTAGGGGACTCTTTCATTAGGAGAGTAGATAGGGCAATCTGTCGCTCTGATCAGCTCAACCGGACAGTTTGCTGTCTCCCGGGTGCTTGGGTCCAGCATGTTGCTGACAGAGTGGATAGATTATTGGGAGGGGCTGGGGATGACCCAATGGTCATGGTCCATGTTGGTACCAATGACAAAGTAAGAGGAAGGTGGAAGGTCCTAAAGAATGATTTCGGGGAATAAGGTAGCAAACTTAAGAAAAGGACCTCCAAGGTGGTATTCTCTGAGATATTACCTGTGCCACGCGCTACAGTGGAAAGGCAGCGGGAGATTAGAGAGGTCAA